TGACAACCCAAGACTAGAACACAGGACAGAGCAACCAGATATCAACCCAGATAGGGAAGTCACAAAAGTAAATCAAAGCTAAAACACTGAAAATAGGGAAACAGAAGTCAATATGTAAAAGACGACAGCATTCAAACAAAAAGAGGGACCTAAAAAAATGCAGACATAGATTTTTCATATGGAGAGGAAGACAAGGTGATATAAAGAAATAAAACACTCTTATAAACTTTTAAAAATAGGGGTAAATATTAAGGTAACCAGAAAGGAAACTAACAATCATACAAGTCAAAATAAAAAACTAGAAAAATGTAAAGACTCAGCAAACACAAAATCAACAACAATGAAAACGATGAAAAGAAGATACATAAAGAAAAATGACTCAGCACAGAGAATTAAGTGGAACAAAGAAACTGAACAACACATGCAAAAAGACATCAAAATGACAGCACTTAACTCATACCTATCAATAATTATGCTGAATGTAAATGGACTAAATAAAGAGACAGAGAGTGGCAGATTGGATTAAAAAAAACACGATCAGTCTATATGCTGCCTACAAGAGATATGCCTTAGACTTAAAGACAAACTAAAACTTAAAGGATGGAAAAAAATATATTAAGCAAACAGCAGTCAAAAAAGAGCAGGAGTGGCAATATTAATCTCTGACAAAATAGACTTTAAAGTAAAATCCACCACAAACAATAAGAAAGGACACTATATAATGATTAAAGGGTCAATATACCAGGAGGACATTACTATAATAAATATTTATGCACCCAACAACAGGGCTCCAAAATACATAAAACTCTAACAGCACTGAAAAGAGAGATAGACATCTCCACAATAGTAGTAGGAGACTTCAACACACCACTGTCGGTAAAGGACAGAACATCCAAAAAGAAGCTCAACAAAGACACGGAAAAGCTAAATGCTACAATCAACCAACCTGATCTCATAGACAGATACCAAACACTCCACCCAACAGCAGTGAAGTATACTTTCTTTTCCAACGCACATGAAACATTCTCCAGAATAGACCACATATTAGGCCATAAAGCAAGCCTTCACAAAATCCAAAGCATTGAAATATTACAAAGCATCTTTTCTGAGCATAAACCCATAAAAGTAGAAATCAACAACAGAAAAAGCAAAGAAAAACAATCAAACGTATGGAAACTGAACAATACCTTGCTCAAAAACCCATAGGGTTTTCAATGGCTCAAAAACTACTGCAGTATAGAAGAAATTAAGGATGGAATAAAGAAATTCATAGAATCAAACGGGAATGAAAACACATCCTACCAGAACCTTTTGGACACAGCAAAAGCACTGCTCAGAGGTCAGTTTATAGCAATAAATGCACACATCCAAAAAGAAGAAAGGGCCATAATCAAAACATTAACCCTACAACTGGAACAAGT